CCTCCCAACCTCCCCTCCTCCCAGGCTCTCCTCCTCCTCTTTCCCCTTTTTGCAATCCTTTTCCCTTGATGATGATGATGATGATGATGATACTACTACTACTACTAATAATAATAATAAACCCTTCACTTGAGCTCTGTAGCATGGTGTCTTTCTCTTTCGAGTCACTTTTTAAAAATTACAACAGTTACTAGTCAGGAAGGAGAGCTGTGGTGACCTTGACACCCTAAAAATGTGCTGAGACCCTTTGCACAGACAAGACTCCAATCAAGAAAGAAATGAATAAAAAACCCTCTGAAATTGGAACAACATTCAGTTTTTATCCTCCATGGACAAGAATGCCACCCAATTTTGGATTCAGTTTAACCCCCTTGACATCTTATTAATGGGAGTTTAAAGACAGAAATCGCTATGTGCATAGTGTCGTGTGTGTGTGTGTGTGTGTGTGTGTGTGTGTGTGTGTGTTTAGAACTGCCTGCCATTGATAGAAAGCAGATGTCTCTGGTGATTTGTTCTAATTCTCTTCTTCCATAATTTGACTTGTCCCATACATTCAGAGTTCCAGACCCTATGTCAAAGCCAGCCATTTATATGGTTACTGTCTTCCCTCATTTCAAGTCTTGGGCCCAAAGTTTTCAATGAAAAAGGATTGAACGACAACAAGGAAAGTCAAAAAGTGCTGGCACCTCTTGGTTACTTATTATTTTCTGGACACTGATTTACAGTTTAACTCATTAAACTCACAGCAAGTGTGTGAGGTGACTGATAACGCTAATTCCCAACTTGCAGATGAGAAAAGGGAGTCAAGAAATGTCGTATTAACTTACCCAAGGCCACATGGCCGGTAAGTGACTGAGTTAGGATTGAAACCGAGACTGGGTGGCATGAGATCCCAGGCTCTTGGTCACCTTGTGATACCACGCAGATGGCTCCATAGTAAGCAGTCTCAGTCACGAGACGTCTTTGCTGGGATCATCCCGTTGTCTACAGAGAAGAATGGACCCTCTTGCAACCGCACTTCTGGGGATCTTCAGCCTGGGGTCTTGACCACTCATTTTCATGATCCACTCAGAGAATTATCTTTCATTTAGGCCACCTCTCATGGAGTCAGGGTCCTTTGGTATCATAGATGCTCATGTCTCTATCACATTCTTTTTGGATATGGGTCCCCTGCCTTCTCTTTGTCATTTTTCACTTGTTAGATACCAGGGATAAATTGTGTAGGTTCTAAAGTTTCCACATCTCCATATTAATATCTTATCCTCCTCCATTTTTAATTGATTCATTCATTTAATTGATTCATTCATTTAATCACTATAGTACAGAGATTGAACCTAGGGTCAGGTACATGACATGCATGCTAAACATTGTGCTATTAGCCCCATCCATCACCTTATTTTTAATTGATATATTTGTATATATATATGTATGATACAATGTGATTTGATTATTCTTCTCCCTTGTTATAAACCATGTTCCCTAGAAGAATCAGAGAAATATGTGATCAAGCAAAAGTGTCAAATAAGAATCCATCATTCAAATTATTAATTAGTAGTGCTCCTGAGTGTTTTTTTTTGACCACACCGTGAATTCAGGTGGTGTTCTAATCAGTTTTCACTGTCACCTTGACACACCCTAAAATATTTTATAAAAAGTGCTCTACTGAGTAACTGTCCCTGTCAGGTTGGGGTTGTTTTGATTATTAATTGATGCAGGAGAGCCCAGCCCACTGTGGGTGGCACCATACTTATGAAAGTTGGACTTGGCTATACAAGAAGCTAGCTGGGCATGAACCTGCAAACCAGAAAGCCATCCAGAAAGAGAGTCATCAAACAGCACTATTACTTTACTCCTGTTTCTGCCTGGATTCCTGCCCTGACTTCCCTTAATGATGAACTGTGGCCTGGAAGAGTAAGACTTAAAACCTTTACTACCCCAAGCTGCTCTTTTTTTTTTTTTTTTTGTCAGAGTGCTTTGTCACAGTGACAGACAGATAGGAGGCGACTCATATTCCCTGGAACATCAGACCCTAGTGGAGAAACTGACCTGGCACAGGGTAGCGGGTGTGAGGTACAGCCCGGGTCTTGTGGGACATAGACCGTCATGACTCATTTTCCTAAGGGAAACTTGCAAGAATTCACACAGGGACAGCATTTAATCTAGGGTACGCAAGGAAAGTAAGACTTCTGGGTCAGAATGGGTTGCGAGGATCATGATGTATGCTGGAGTAAGGCGTGTTCAGGGAAGAATTAAAATTCCAAGTAGACGGAAAGTCGGGAGAAGAGAGCCAAGCAGGAGTGGAAGCTGAGGTGGGCTGAGCCAAGACAAATATTTCGATAGTTTCCTACAATAGTGGGTGAGCATAGAGAAGAGAAGGGGGCCGCAATATCTCTGGGAATAAAGCAGGTAATCCCACGAGAGATGCCTTAGAGTGGGAGGAAACCCCGTCACTGGCCTTCCCCACGTAGGCGGGGCTTCTATGCTCCCGGTGCTGCGGCTTTGTTGTAGCTGATGAAACTCACCAGGGGATGGACGCTGGAAAGTCATTAAGAAACTATCTCCAGTGTTAAGGGCACTCCATGTCAGTCTCCTCACTGAGAAAGGGGGAAAGGGGGATCCTTATATCTTTTTTTTTTGCTATGGTTAGGATGAGTCTATTAAAGTTCTATTTCCTATGTGTGCATTTACTTCAGCTGAGCATCCCTACAGAGGAGGGTAAATCCCCAAGTGATGGAGAACTGATGTGACCTTTACTGGATGGAACAGGGCTGGCCCAGAAGCATATTTCTCTGTCCTTTGGCCCCCTCCGTTTGAACTCTCTGTGTAATAATTGTGCTTCAGATGCAAGCACACGCGTGAAAATGGTCTACCAGCCATTACACGGCATTCCACAATGACCAGAGCATGACACAGCAATTTAGTGTGGCTCCTTTTTAATTTGGACAAAATTTAATTAAAGTTAAATTTGTGGGGATAGAGGAAACAGGCATGGTAGGATTTTGTGTTTTGATGTATGCATACAGCTTTTCCCATGCTGGTCAATACAGATGGCAAAATTGTGATGCTGCTACCAAGCTGTTGAAATAGTTTGCCTGCCCAGATGGGCCCTGATTTAACAGACAATCACATCCGGCCTGGTTCCCAGCAGCCATCTACTATCCCATGCCTGGCTTCGTGCAGACACAGAAGGTGAGACACGAGCCAATTAATAGCGCTCCACTCTACCCCACGGCTCTCTCTGGCTGATGACTGCATCCAAGAAGCTGTTGCCGGAATTCAGACAGTTAACAGGAGGCTCCCTCCACTCAGCTCCAGTTTGCTCATCTCAAAATTTGGGACAAGACCCAGAATTTGGTTTGACATTTCTGTGTTCCAATAATCTTCTGAATCCCTGGTATGCCAAACCCCTGGACCTAACAGAAATGCTTACTTGAGTGTCAAGGAGGAAAATTCTAATTAAGTTAATTTTTAAATGAGACCAAATATAGGATAAAGGAGAGGCTCAAAGGGCCAGGGCTTGCAGAGGTCACACGGCTGCCCCATAATGAACACCAACAGTCATCTCAGGTCTCATTTGTTACCACAGTCCACTAATCTCCCATGGCCTCCACACAGAGGGCAGTAAGCAGAGCTTTGCTCAGAGCGAAGTCTTTGCTTCTCTCTATAAATTACACTCCCATAGGTGCCCATGCTGTACCGGATGTCAGCCCTCAAGCTAACTTTCCTTGTGCCTCCGTGAAATGCCTCGCTTCTTTTTGGAAAGCATTTGGATACAAATGCACAGGCAGGTCCATCCAGCTGCTTGGCTCTGGCCTTTGACAGTGTTTCCTTATGGGGGAAGAGCAAATTCACTCAGACTCAGCACTAACCTGCTGCTTATTCCTGAGCACATGAACTTTAGAAGGAGTTTTAAAACCCCAACTTTAAAGCTCAGGAAAGACTTCTGAATTGCAAGATTTTTAAATAATTTTAATAGCTTTCCGGCCCTTGCAATGAACTACGAGTTCTGCAGATTCAGACAGAAGCAGGCGTCAGATCCCCTGGATCTGGAGTAATGGATGGCTAATGAGCTGTCCTGTGGGTGCTGGGAATGTGACCTGGGACTTCTGGAAGAACAGCCCGTGTTCTCAGTCACTAAGTCATCTCTTCTGGCCCACTCTGACTTCTAAGTTTATCTTATACAGAATCAAGGCACTAAATTTAGATGAACTATGGGATTTCTTAAAAAAAAAAGGGGGGGGCAATTTAGGCTGGGCGTTGGTGGCGCACGCCTTTAATCCCAGCACTTGAGAGGCAGAGGAAGGTGGATCTCTGTGAGTTCAAGGCCAACCTGGTCTACAGAGTGAGTTCCAGGACAGCCTCCAAAACAATACAAGCCTCCAAAACAAGACAGAAACCCTGTCTCGAAAAACCAAAAGAAAAAAAAAGTGGGACATTTTACATTTAATTGATAGTTGTATATAAGTTGGCTAGGTGAAAACTTTCTCCATTATACATTTACTTCTGTTTTAATAGATAAATAAGAATTCTGAATCCCTATGTAAAGCCCATGAAAGATACACAATGTGTGTGTGTGCTTTCACACGCACAGCCTTTAAAATCTGAACTGCTAGACGCACTTTTCCCTGTTTAATGCCCACATCCCTGATGGTGTCCCACTGCTCTTGCAAGACTCCCTTATGCAAATATTTATGCCAGAACTTTTAAACATCTACAAATATTTATCTTTCCCAAACAGCATCACGCAGAGTGCTCAGGACACTCTGTGACGTGGGTGACGTGGTAACTATGGGTTCTAGGGACGGGTGTCTCCGAGACCTAACTCTGCTCACAGGCTCCAGGGCTAGCAAAGCTGCAATAGAGAATGTGAGCCCCCCCACCCCCCCACCCCCGCCCCGGGCCTGTAGGCATTACACAGTGGTCTTGAATATGTCAAAAAAATTCTTCCATTTTAACCCTCCTTCTACCTCAAGGGACATGCTAGTAATGAAATGATCAATTCTGGAACTTTCCACAGACCCTTGCTACCTTGATCCAGAAGCCATGGTGACACAAGAGTTTCAAAAGAGAAAGGGAAACCCTCAGAAGTCCTGGACAACTTTGGAGGTGAGAGGAGTTTCTAAATAACTCAGGGAGATGGGAAGGAAGGAAGGAAGGAAAAAAGAAAGGAAGGGAGGAGGGAAGAAGAGAGGGAGGGAGGGAAGAAGGGAGGAGGGAGGGAGAGAGGAAGGGAAGGAAGGAGGGAAGGGAGAGAGGAAGGAGGAAGGGAGGGAAGGAGGAAGAAATAGAGAGAAAGGAAGGGAGGAAGGAGAAAAGAAAAAAGGAAAGGGAGAGAGAGGCCAGACTTACTTCATCTGCATGTCCAACGGCGCCAAAGATCCTAGCTATTTGTCCAGTGAGGTAGGGGAATCTCTCCCCAGTCTCCTTCAGCATTGGTAGAAAACCGCTCAAAGCCAGTGGCTCATAGCCAGCTATTTCTATGAGGATGTTTAGGATGAAGTCATTATAGGTTGAATCCTTCAGATGCCTGACGAGGAAAGGAACACATTTCTGAACCACCTTCGAGGGGGAGGGGAGAGGAGGAAAGGAGAAAGAAAAGACAAAGAGAAACATTAGTCAAATCGGAATCACTTTCAAAAGAAAACTTTGTTGTGACAGTCTCATAGGTAGCATAGGCTGGGCTCAATTTAAAACATCCCTCCTTCCTGAGCCTCCTAAATTCTGGGATTACAGACCTATGGATGGCAACATATTAAATATTAGACCAGCAGGCAACACATCCTGGGATTACTAATCCCATGGTAAAATCTCCACACTTCGGAATCTAAAATTTACAACAAAACCATCTGCAGCTGAGTCTGCTTTCCTTTAAGTCACCCTCTCCTATTGAAAAGTGAAGTCCACAAAGTTCTCATGTTGCTGATGCCCAGACCAAACTTTGATGGGCTACCGGAATACTGCATTCTTCACAAGCCACCAGAGTTGCAGCAGAAGGACAGCCAATGCGTAAGAGACCCTTGTTGTTTACTAAGCCTCTGGTTTGGGAGAATTCCAGTTAGCAATGCTTCACAGTGGAGAAAAGAAAGCAGGAAGACTTTCTCACTTGTTCTTAAGCTCCAATTCTACCAGAGCATGTAGCGATAAGGTGTGAGTACTAAAGCAAAATGACTTCCACCGTATTATCGTTGCTTTGTGGCTACAAGAATTAAATAAATCTTATTAGAAAGTGTGGCTTTCTGTGAAATAAAGTCACTAATACTCACAGACGTGGGAAGGGAGCCATACATGGAATTCAAACAGGGACAAACCAAGTGTCGTCTTGAGATAACTAGAATCACCCTACATATACAGATTTAAACTTCATAGTCCTTTAAGAACTGTGGGAGGAGAGAGCATGTCTAGTCCCTGACAAGTTCACACATCTATGGTTCTATAAACGCTGCCTATGCATTGGGGGAGGGATTACATATCCTTCAGGAAGACACCATGAGAAGTCCCTGGCACATACGGCAAAAATGTCAGCCAACTGCACCGGGTCAGGGCAACATACCTGACCTGAGGCATTTGGAAATGGAAAATGCTCACACATTTCCTGCACCTTTCAGAAAACTCCATTTCCAAGCCCTTGCCCTTCAGGTCCTGTTCCTGGAACAAGACGTCTTTGTTGACACGTGGTTCTTCACATGCCAGTTTAGAGTTATAATTTAAATCCCAGCCACATAGCCCAAGTCTGACAAGGCTGTGCAGTATCTGTCCATTCTCCTATGAACAAAAGGAAAGAGGGGGAAAGAAAGAAATGAGGAAGGACACAAGGAGAAAAGAAGAAAAAGAACAAAAACAAAAGCAAAAAGAAAGAGAAAGAAAGAAAGAAAGAAAGAAAGAAAGAAAGCAGGTAGGCAGGCACCAAGCAAATGAATTCCCTGATTCCCGGAGGGGGACAGATGCAGATGACTCCATAGAAAGCCCAGAAAGTAGAGCCATTTTGAATACTGTAAACACATGAGATAAAAGCTGAATATTGTGTTGTGAATTCCTATTGTACCAAGTTTATTATGACGGTGATGGAAAAGAACGATATTTCGGAGTTCGTCCCATACACTGAAAGCAAAGCGATCCCCTGCAGGAGGAATTTTATTTTCCATGCACAGGGCCTGTGTCTCCAGTGCCTCCTTGTTGGGATGGCTTCATGTCTGGGAGCAGGTCCTATCTCTGCGGAGAGCAGGGCAGTCAGAGACAGGGCAGATGGCAGGCAGAGAGGAAGCTGGCTTGGCTGTCACCCTCTCGTCCCCATTGGGGAAAGAATCCTCTCTCCTCCACGTCTTTGTCCCTTTGGCTAAGTCTCTTGGCTGCCTCCAGTGTACCTTATCCTAAGACCCCAGTCTGAAGACATCAAAGCTTCCCTTAGAAGCTGTGTCCCCACACGGTCTTCACTTAGGGGAGTTTCTGCAGCCTCTTGCCCATGGTTGAGTGTCTTGGTACCGACTGCTTCAGTGGCTTGACAGAGGAAGCATCTGCTTTTACATTTGACTTTCCCCTGTGCCCACCCTATGGTCAGAGGACCTGGGGTTAGAGTACAGAGAGGAGAGTCCTGCACATCACATATCCAGATATTCAGCAGCGCTTTGTCATCCTCCTACCTGATAAAGAAGCCTTGTAGCAACCTGTGATGCTTCATTCATCTCGACTTGCAATCTCTGGCCTGTGTAGAGGAAGTATGGAGAGATGTGGCCCCCAACCCCTCTCTTTTCTCTCTGCCTTTGCCTTGTTCTGCCTGTGGCTGTCTCTCTGGGTCATTTGAGTCACTTCTCAGGAATATGAGGTCACCTAACAGTGTGACATGGATGCTAAAAAATTAAAATTTCTCCAGAAAATATGTTAAGGGTAAGAGTAGCTTGAAGCCCTGTTTCCAGGAGGGGATTCCCCTCAGGAAAATTTCTCACAGCTCTGACAGCTTAGCTCACAGCTAAATCTACTTACGTGCGCTTTCTGGCTTTCTTTCTCCTTTTGCCCCCTATAAATTGTACCATTGAAATAGGAACACTGGAGAAAACAAAGAATTTTTCCTATTTCATTCTGTCCCAAAACTGTAAACAAACCCGTTTATCTTTATCAACTCCTGAATCCTGATTTTTTTTGTAAGATAAGGAAGCAAGGGACACAGAAGGGCTATAGTTTGAGATGACATGAGCCTATCCTGCAGAAATACAGAGGAAGGCTCAAGGTGTTTAGAAAAATTCCAAGGCCCTAGGGCCCTGTGCTGTGATTAGTGGGAGAATGGGCTTAAACCACATTGCAAGGGCAGCATGGGAGAGGGGACTTGAACAGAACTCTCTAAAGTAAATGACTGGGGGATAATCTCAGTCTTGGGTTCTCTGTCTCTTCCTGGACACTAGGCTCTTCTCTTTATATCTCCCATAGTTCATAATGTTGGCCTCATCACAGAGTTGAAATTTTGTGGGTAACTCTCCCCAAAGCCAAGGGCACCTTAAGAATAGGGTCATCAGACAAATCTAAACAGAGAACCCTCAACAGAGGAATCTCAAATGGATGAAAGGCACTTAAGGAAATGTTCAACATCCCCAGTCACGAGAGAATTGCAAAAAAAAAAAACCTCTGAGATAAGATCTTATACCTATCAGAATGGCTAAGATCATGTCAGACTCTGATGACTGCTTATGCTAAAGAGGATGTGGAGTAAAGGGAGCACTCCTCCAATGCTGGTGGGAGTGCAAACTTGAATAGCCACTTTGGAAATCGGTCTGGTGGTTTCTCAGAAAACTGGGAATCAGTCTACCTCAAGACTTGGTAATACCACCTTTGGGAACATACCCAAAGGATGCAAACTCACACCACAAGGACATTTGTTCAACTGTGTTAATAGCAGTATTATTCATAATAGCCAGAAACTGGAAATAACATAGATGCCCCCCAACTGATGAATGGATAAGGAAAATGTGGTACATTTACTCAATGGAGTACTACTCAGCAGTAAAAAGCAATTACATCTTGAAATATGCAGACAAATGGACAGAACTAGAAAAAGCCATCCTGAGTGAGGTAACCCAGACCCAAAAACACTAATAAGTACTCACTCATAAGTGGATATTAGAAAAAAAGCAAAGGACAACCAGCCTATAGGCCACAACCCCAGAAAACCTAGGTAACAAAGAGGACCCTAAGAGAGACATACATGGATCCACTTAGGAAAGGGGAAAAGACAAGATCTCATCAGTCAACTGAGAGGTTGAGGGGTAGAGAGGAGGTTGGAAGGGGAAAAATGTATAGCTCAATAAAAAAATTGCTTCTAATAAAAAAATAGGTCATCGGAATATTATGCCATGTTTGATTGGTAGTAAATGACATCTCAAGACCTGTGTATGGAATAGAAGGCAAATTGTGGTGTGTGTGTGTGTGTGTGTGTGTGTGTGTGTGTGTGTGTGGTGTTCTCTGTGTTCTACCACTTAAATTTGTCCTCAGGCAAAATTTCTATTTTAGTTAACTTAGCTAGAATCGATACTTCATTAATTTTTTATGAATCTACAAAACTGATTGCCACTCTTTTTTGTTTACTGCTTCTTTTTTCCTCCACACAGATGTTCTGGAAAACAGGCTCTGTTTTGCAGACTGTCTTCTCTGAATGGTCTACATATCCCATCGCTCCATCTTCTCATGTTTTGTAAATGACTTCAAGTATTTATGCAGAGTGGCCCCTGAGCATTGTGGGCCTGGCGACTGGCCTGGTGGATGATGTGTTAGGTGTTGTAAGATTTGGCAGGAGAAGAGGAATGTTCTACTCTGTTCTGTGAAACCCAGGAAATGACTCTGCTTCCAGGATGAGGCCGAGAAAGCAATTCCTCTGGGTCTGAACACTGAGGAGGGGGAGTTCCACTTGCCACTCTCTGTCACTCATCTTTGCATGCCTGGGGCCAGAAGCCCATGCCTGGGGCTAATAACATGTATGCATACACATTAATAAATTATGTTCTGTTTGCCAGCTAGACTGCAGGATGTCCCACGGCAGCCAAGGAAACACTGACTTTATTCTTATAAAGGCAACTTGGAAAAACTGACCACACAGACTTTTCCTATAAATGGATCCTGAGGTTCCCTTGGGGATGCTGACCATGAGTCACTGGCCAGGAATTGCCTCTCTATCTTGGAAGAATAGTGCCCTATAAAGAAAGATGCCCAATGTCAATGATGAAGAATAGATGTGCCTGGCCACACGTCTGCCTCTTAGAGCTTACAGATGTGTGGGTCCTAAGACTTCATGGACTACTACCCATGTGTAGAGAAAATGTCTATCTCTACAGAGCCTTGAATGGGAGTCTGGGGTGGGGGGATCTGCTTTAACAGGGTGGGAAGAGTTAACTAGGCAAACACTTAAGCCCTGAGATATACCGTGATCTGAGGAACAGTTTTTCAAGGCCCACTACTGACCAGTCCTGAGATTCACATTCTCACTTGTGGCTGAGGGTAGGTGGTGAAAATTGTAGCATTCAATGACCAAACTAACAAGACCAACCCAACCAATCAAGCAGAAACCCAAGAAATATTACAGGCGACTGCACTGATTATAGATATCACTAATAATCTCTGTTTCAGTTACCTTTCTTCAACAAGAAACCCCAAAAGAAGCAACTTAAGCCAGGAAGAGTGTTTCAGCTCATGGTTTCAAGGATCTCAGAGCATCATGGTGTGGAAAACATCATTTGGGAAAGCTCTGTCCCATGTTGGGGATTTCTTACATCATGGAAGACCATGAGGCAGATGTAACCCCCACAGGTCTGTCCTTAGTGATCCATACCTGCAGCATTATGAGCATGCGGGGGACATTTCTAACCCAAACCATCACATCCTCCATGTAACACAAGACAAACCCAAAATGCAAAATCACACCCCTCCACATCCATCCGTCTATTTCATCTGGAAGCAAATGGATCAGAATTAAGTTGAATTGAAGCCTGCATTCCTAGTTGCCGGTGCTTCCTAGACATCCCCGTAAGATCACCCTCCGTGATCATGCCCATGAATACTGTCTAATGAGGGAATGTAGGAGAGGAGGTAAAGTGGGCATTCTGTTTGTCCCTGCCTATGACAGTGACAGTTCTACGGGAATCACAGGAAGAAACGAAGGGGCAAGTAGAGGGGACTCTTTCACATGACAAGAAGGGACGGGAGCAGCTGGGCTTGGCTTGGGTTCCTTCTCACAACCTCTTCTACCACTTACTATGTGGGTACAGTGAAGTCCACCCAGTCACTCTAAGTGTCTCCAAGGCCTAGGAATCTTCATTCTGAAGACCACACTCAGAGCCAGTGACCTCATGCAGAGCCTGTTTCTTAGTCGCTTCCTTTATATCTCTTGTCATCTTTCCCACACATTCTGCTGCATCCCTTGGAACTCCATCTGCTTCAGTAGCCACGGGCCTCCAGACTCAATCTTTCTTTTTTCTTCTTTTCGGTGTCAAAAGAATCACATCAGACTTGAGTTACAGCTTGGCCTTATCAGTGAGGCTTTGGAACCACGGCACGTGTCGATGCTGACTACCTGTGTGTGGTGACTTTAGGATGGGCAGTTTCACTGTGATTTAGAGAGGGAAATAGGATCTTGAGGGGCTGATCGGGATGATGCCAGTGTAAAACGTCACCTCACCACGCCCCTCCACGTCGCTGCGAGTGATCTACATCTTGGTTTTTCCATCTATAAACTATAAAAATCTTGCTGTGTGGGACAAAGTGGAGGAGGTGTGCAAACCACCCACCCATTGTCTGTTACTCGTTTAAATGAGTTCATCCACCCTCAGCATCCTCTATCACTGTGACTAGCAGTGAGAAAATTATCCTCCTTTGTACCCTTCTACAGCGGAAGCTGCCTAGGCCAAGAGAGGGAAGAAGGTACAACTCAGACAACCTGGCTTCAAAACCTTGGGCCTTTCTTATTCTTCACTAGGTGTGTGATATCAGGCAAGTTAACTCCTCCAAGCATCTGTTTTGGTCAAAGTAAGATGGAGGAAAAATCAATACATTATAGAGTAAGTTGTAGGGCTGAGTGAGGTACTAGATGTGAAAAGGAGCATTTGTAAATGGTCAAGGTGTCTGCAGATTTAGGCATTAATTTTAGCTTCTCCATGTGAGAAATATCCATGGGAGGACTACTGTGTACCAGGTGCTAAATCAGCCATAGGATCCTCTGTTGGCTGTGACCAACAGTAAGCGTGGTGGTACCAGAGCCAGATAATTCTCCTACCTCAGGGTGCTTTAGAGGAGAGAGGGACCAGGAACTGGGGGAAAGGGATTCTGAGAAAGCGTTGACATTTTTAGTGGTTATCTAAAAGACAGAAATAGTTAGCCAAGAAGGGTCAGAGTTGTCAGTTAAGAACCTTTCGGAAGGAAAACACAGCATATGTGTGAAATGCCCACTGCCCACAAGATGATACCCGCCAGTGGGTCACACAGACTACCGTTTTGAAGTTTTGAGGATAAGAGGTGATGAGAACTAACTAACTGGGTTCACAAGCCCCTTCCTGAGCCTCTTGGCTGCACTGTGCAGACAGAACCTCTGTGAACGCCACACGTGGAGCCATCCTCACTCTTGGGACTCTTTGCATTGGTTGGGGGTGGATGACTTCAGGGCATTTTATCTTCCCTCATCCTATAACTGAGCCTGCACTGGCTTTGTTCTTCTTCGTGGTCAGTCCTCACCCCGTGGGGGACGAGCTGATGTAGATCAAGTTAGTGTCTCTGGAGCCATCATCTAAAAAATCACATTTGTTTTGTTTCAGTTCCCAGCCCACAGATAAAATGAACACTGTGTTTAGCCTTTCAGTCTCACGGGGTTTCCTGTATTCTAACAAAGATTCCCTGGTAATCTTTGTAATGGTTTCCTACAGAGGACTCATGACAACGGCTTCCTGTAGAGGACTCATAACCCTTTCTTACGGTAGCCTGTGAGTATACTACCTTATATGGCAAAGAGAGCCAGATGGGACTCACTGTGCAGATGTGATCCAGAGGGGAAGAGATTCCCTTGGGTTATGTGGGTAGTCACAATGGAATTTTAAAGGTCTGTAGAAGACACTGGGGGTGGACCAGTGTCTTAGAAGATACGGGGAGAAAAGGAGAGGCAAGAGAGATCTGGATTTTGTGTCTGCTTTTTGGTCTCTGCCTTCTCAGTGTTGGTTTTCAAGCATATACACCTGACTTTTTTGTTTGCTTGTTTGTTTCGAGACAGGGTTTCTCTGTATTGTTTTGGAGGGTGTCCTGGAACTCGCTCTGGAGACCAGGCTGGCCTCGAACTCACAGAGATCCGTCTGCCTCTGCCTCCCGAGTGCTGGGATTAAAGGCATGCACCACCAACGCCAAGCTACACCTGACTTTTTATATGGACTCTGGGGATCGAACTCAGGTCCTCACGCTTCTTCAACAAGCACTTTACCTGCTGAGCTATCTCTTTAGTCCCTATTGAACCCCTACTATCTGCCCAGCATGAAGTTAAGAGACTCATTGTGAATATGTAGACATATCCTATGGTTGTTAAGGAGTTTATAGCAAACTGGAAGAGGCAGACAAGGAATAATGATGATGATGATGATGATAATGAATAAGTTATAACAATGAGTTATTGATAATAACATACTATTGTATTATCCCAAGGACAAAAGTGAAGATTCACACGGGCAGCAGACAGCTCCCAGTCCTCTGCCAAGCCTCTGACATCCTTCTTTACTTTGTGATCCCTGTAGTAACATCCTATGGCCCATGCCTGATCTACTAAACACAGATCTCTGAGGGTGCAGCTGAGGTAAGGGTCAACTTCCTGGTCTCCATCCTGGGGCATTATGTGAAGGGTACACTTAGTGTTTAGTAACTCCTGCTCCTTTTCCTGGAGGCCCACTGTCCCTCTGCCCCCATACCCACCACCCTGCACAGACTGTATATTTAAAAGCTCTAGTCTGGATGCTGCTCCCATGAGAGAACTTCGCTGTGCCATCTTCTCCTAAGGCAGAATCAATAACCCTCTGAAATCTACATCAACTACCTAGTCCTCACAGTATCTGATTTCTATCTGAGAAATGGAGAGAGTGAGAGAGATATTATTTCATTCTCATTGTGTGATCTCTTAGATGAAGCCTCATATAAGTTTGCCGTTTGTTTATTTACTATCATGTTACCTTTAAGCTCCTTTGACCGTTGAAACCACTGTGGTTTGCTAATTACAAGCATCCCTATTGTCAGTACGCTACTTGGATATAAAGGATGACAACTATTTTCTATCTAGAGAGTGAACTTTTGCTCCCACTCTGGGCACATTTACTCATGAGTCAGCTTATGTGTAAATCTTTCTCTTGGCTCTGCTTGTAAGAATATAGATTCTTAGAACTGCGTGTGCACATTAAATTGCACTGACACTACCCTGCAATGTATGCAGAGTCACGCTTGTTGCTTTTTATCAGTGTGACTGTGATGGTTAATTTTGTGTCCATTTGATTGGATCACAGGGTGCCCAGACGCTTGTTAAACATTTCAGGGTGTCTGTGAAAATGGGTGAGAATAACATTTAAATAGGTAAACTGGGTAAAGGACTATGTCACTATGGACAGGCACCAGCTAATCTGTTGGGGACTTAAACAAAGGGAAAAGGGAAAGGAAGAGAGAATTCACAGGGTATGTGATGTCTTGTGCTAGAGTATTGGTATTTGCTTGTATAGAAACTGTCTACCCTCCAGTTTCCAGTATTTTTTAACAATATGAATTAGAACTGTGCCCCTGGCTTTCCTGAGTCTCTAGGACAGACAATCTTCATAGTGGCATGAACCAACTCTCTCTCTCTCTCTCTGTCTGTCTCTCTCTCACACACACACACATCTTGTACAAGTGTATCATAAACAGATAGATGCTTTTGATTGTATATATGTGTGTGTGTATGTGTGTGTGTGCAAGGAAGCCCTAAGCACATTAATCTCTCTCTCTCTCTCTCTCTCTCTCTCTCTCTCTCTCTCTCTCACACACACACACACACACACCTCTTGTACAAGTGTATTATAAACAGATAGATGCTTTTGATTGTATATATATATATATGTGTGTGTGTGTGTGTGTGTGTGTGTGCGTGCGCGTGCGCAAGGAAGCCCTAAGCACATTAATCCTGCTCAAATTATCCAGAAATAGATCTGGCTGTGTGGGCCATCACAGTGAGTGCACCATACTATACAGTGTATTACCTCCACATCTCTTCTCTTTGCTGCTACATGCAAAAGCCGTAGGAGATGGTACTGTTCTGTCTGTTCCAATTGAGACATCAAGGCCAGGAGTTCTGCCAGGTGTCTGTTGATTGGCTGAGACTGCTTTTCATACACAGCAGGTAACACCCTCAACAGCATGGCATTTCCTATTGGGGGAACAATAAAGGCAACAGCTTGATCAGCCTCAAAGCAATAGAAATAACATCACTGTTAGGGTAATAATCTTTGCACTTAGGCAGTACAGTAAACAGCCACATGGTTCTGGTAAAATAAACAGAATAGCTCATTCTGAAAAAAAGAAATTAGTCATTAAAGCACAATTTCAACTGGTTTCACAAGGAGGGCATTTTTTTGTTTGATATAACCAGCATTATTATCTAACAGGTTTTTTTTCCTGAGTAATGCTCCATGGGGGTTAGAGGCATACTTGATAGTAACCAGACCGCACCTCAAGGAGATGGTTCCGATAAAGAATTCCTGATGAGGAGCAACACTTGGATGCTATTGAAATGAAAAGTGAGCAGTGTTATAAGCATGAACCTAAACGAAAACTGAACCAGAGGGAAAAAAAATGTGCAGAGGAATGTGCTCACATTCCTGAGGGGTGGGAGGCACCGCTTGGACAATGGACATGTGGAAACTGTGCTTCATACTTCTGTGAATAGCTTAGAAGGTAGCAATGCAAATGTAGATCCCCAATTTCTTCACTATTTCAAGGGGGAATTTGCACTCAGCTTGTTTGTCACATGCGATTTGCCTCAAAGACATATGTGACAACTGGATTTAAAAAAAATGGTAAAAGCTGAAGAAAAACCATTTCACAAGCCGTAGGGACTTAACTGCAACCACACGTGGGAAACAGCTGCTTATCACTTTATGTTATGGAGCCCCCCCCCCCCCCAAAACCCTGTCACGCACTTATTTAAGTGTCTCAGAGAATCTGGTTTCTAGAGGTCACGTGAAAAACATTTTCTTGATCCTATTTATAATTTTTGTCGTGGCAGTGGTGCTGCGATTGAACCTGACACATGCCAGGCAGGCAAGCGCTCTTCAAATGGCCACACTGACCACAAGCCTGGGCGTGGTTTACTTATGCAGCAAAGTTAGCTTTATTCACAGAAAACACGCACAGAAAGAATCAAGCAGGCAGAAACTACACATATGTAAGCCTTCATTTAAGTGGTGGGGACATGCTAACACAGAAGACATTTAGTTATGAGCATTAAGGAAAGAAAGCTTGGGTTTCCGGCTGGGGAGATGGCTCAGAGGTTAAGGGCGTTGGCTATTCTTCCAGAGGACCTGGGTTCAATTCCCAGCAACCACATGTTGCCTCACAACCATCTGTAATGAGATCTGGTGCCCTCTTCTGGCTTTCTGGCATATAGACAGATGCTGTATACTAAATAAGTAAATAAATCTAAAAGTGTTTAAAAAAAAAGAGAAAGCTTGGGTTTCTAGAATATTAGTATTTATATTCAGTTAAAATGGACAAACAGTGTACTTGGGTAAGAAAAAAATGGAGAATTGCTTTTTCGTAGAATTAGTTTCCAACATATCTTAGCAAAATGAAAGATTTTGGAAATAATTTTAATTAAAAAAATAATTTGTTCTTTGGAGATTGAGACAGGAGGATGACCACAGGTTTGAGCCCATTTGGCCTATATAATGAATTCAAGACAAGTTTGGGCTACATAGTAGGATCTTGTCTCAAACTGAAGCTAAAAACTAAAACATAAGGAAGTTTTTCCTGGGATAGAGAGATGGCTCAGCATTTATGAGCATTGGTTACTCTTCCGGAGAACTGAGGTTTGAATCCCAGCTCCCACATGGTAGCTCACAACCATCCATAACTCCAGTAACAGTGGACCCAACATCCTGTCCTGGCTTCCACAGGCCCCTGGCATGTGCTTTCAGACAACACGCACACACACACACACACACACACACACACACACACACACACAGAGGTGGGGGAATAGGATGGTCCCATGAAGGTGTGTGTGTGTGTATGTGTGTGTGTATACATTTTAAAAAAGAAATCGCTCCCATAACTATATTCAATAATTTAATACCAAACAATGTTGTTTGGTTTCTGTTTATTAATATTTATAAGAGTTTCTCCTTAAATCTAGGGATTTCTAATTCAATACATAATTGACGCAGAACACATTAGGTCATAGCACTTAGCTGTGCATGCGCACTGGCAGCTGATGGGAAGAGTCACACTGAATGGGACTGTAGCTAGAATCTGGGGCAGAAACTGCTGTATGACTTTCTAGTGTCATCTCCAACAAAGGCCCTGCGTGCTTTGGAAGGGAAATCCCTAGATGAGTCATTCTTCAACTGACTTCAATTTCGATAAAAGAAACACAAAAATAAGTGCAAGATAACTTATTTTTCAAAGTTAGAAACATGAAGAAATCTGGGTGTAGAAACCCTGTAAAAAAAACCATTCATGAATTTATATATTCCTTTTAATACTAAATGTTTCAAGCCCACGGGTAAGCATAAGTAATGGTTAAAAGGAGCAATGGTGTGCCCATCACCCAGCTTCATCAAAGCCCCACCTTGTGCCACAAGTGCTTTCTGAAAAAAAAAATTGCTTTTTCTCCTCAGAGGCAATCATCACCCTGAAGTTAGTATTTCTCGTTGTTGTGAATGTCTTTATACTTTACTGACATGCGTGCATCAATAGACATCTTACAGTTGTTTGCCCGTCTTGTAATTTTACATGAATAGGTTCGTTACATACAGAACCCAGGGCAAAACTATTTTGTCCCATTCAACTTCATGCTGGTTTTCATTCAAACTGACCTCATGTCTTTTTTATTCTCTCTGCTCGCTCTTCTACCCAGGGGACACCCATTTGTTAATGTCCTCTGTGGCTGAAAGGCATCTTTTTTTCTCTAGATCCCAGAAGAAAACATCAGGAAAAGGCCCAGGATCACTCGGAATTGCCGTCTTAAGGCTTTCAGAAGTCTGACATGAATGCCACAATACTAAAGGTATAGGCAGGGCCACGGCAGTCCATTCAGAGCCTCCAGAACCATTTCTTGGGCTCTTCTAGCTTCTAGAACAGTAGTTCTCAACCTTCCTAAGGCCGTGGCCCTTTAAATATAGTTCCTCATGTGGTGGTGACCCACCCTAACCATAAAATTATTTCACTGCTACTTCATTACTGTGATTTTGCTACTGGTATGAATTGTAACATAAGCATGTGTTTTCGAATGGTCTTGGGCAACTTGTGTGAAGGGGTCCTTCGACCCCGCCCCCCAAAGGAGTCACAACCCGAAGGTTGAGAACCATTGCTCTAGAGTCTGGTGTGTATTTGCTGGTTGGAGGACCTTTCCATCGTCTTCAAAACTAGAAACTCGGTGACTCTATTATCTTGCTTCTTTCTGTCACCACCATTCTTTGTCTAATTCTTCCTCCCTCTTTCGCTTTCTCTTAAAACATTGTGTATGTGTACCTGTGACATGAATGCGTGGACCGTGACACGTGTGCAGATGCTAGAGGACACCTTTCAGGAGTTGATTCTCTCCCTCCAGCATGCGCTCCAAGGACTGAACTCAAGTCACCAGGCTTTCGTGGCAGGAGCTTTTATCCAACGACCCACTTCACTTGCGTACCCTCTTTGACTTTTAGGAAGCCCTAAATAATCAAGGATTGTTTCCTTATTTTGTGTACTAACCTTAATCCTATCTGAAATGCAGCAATATAGAATAATGTTCACAGGTTACAAGGGACTGGCACACGGATGTCTTTTGGGGTCTGTTATTGTACCTGGCATCAAGCTTGTGGGAGCTTACATTCCCATCAGTGAGAGGGGTGTCTGCCGCTCATATCCTTGCTATGCTGGGCCTTCACACGTTGTCTCTCCTTGCCTTTTGCTAATTTGATGGAGTGTAAGAGTGTATCTCAGTTTTTGTTTTCTTTCTTTTTTTTATTGGGACGCCCATACACACACTTTTGTGGCAAATCATCTCCTCTATTGCGATTTGACCATTCATAGACGTTCACATTTTCTGTTGACACGGTTATCTGTCTTCTGAATGCATTAGCACTTTCTTTGCTTTTGCCGGAATTGCCATGCTATCCATTCCTGATCTTTTTTTTAATGAACTTTAACTCACTTTGCAAGAATTATGGGAATCACTAACGGTTCTTCAAAATATTCAGCCTTTCCCCTCAACAGCCCTTGGAGGGTGTGTGTGTGTTCCTGTAGACGCATGTTTACGTAGGCATATGTACATGGGGAAGCCTCTGAAGTCAACAGTCATCTTACACATTTTTTTAAAGATGTACTTATTTTTATGTCTCTGTGTGTGCCAGCATAAGCTTATGTGTACCACATGTACTTGAGGAGGTCAAAGGACATTGGATCTCCTGGAACTAGAGTAGGAGGGCGGTGAGAGGTGACTGATGTGGGTCCTGGGGACTAATCCGGGTCCTTTGAAAGAGCCATAAGCATTTTTATCTAGCTCGTCCACATTAATTTTTGAGACAGGGTCTCTCATTGGCCTGAACTTGCCCAGTAGGCTTAGCTGTCTGACCAGGGAGCTCCAGGAGCCCTCCCCCCAGCACTGACATTAAGAGGCTGCATCACCACACCAGGCTCTTAAATGTAGATTCTGGAAACCAAACTTGGGTCCCCATTCTTCAGAGGGAAACACTTTACTGACTGAGCTTTCCTTTAAAATATATCTTACCATATCATAGTGTCATGTCTTTCTTGTAGGCCTTAAAAATGGTTCAAACATACTTGCTTTTAGGTGTTTTTTGTTTGTTTTTTGTTTTTAATAAGTGACACTTGAGCAGGGGCTTAATGCCTTTTGACTTTCTGTTGATTCTCACGGTACGTTGTACTATTCCCTCAGCTGTCGAGATATGTTTAACTGTGAATTCATTTTTACTGAGGTGGTTGGTATATGGATGTGCACTCCAGATGCGTGAGGGCAAGCGCCTACTTACAAACTCTTAGAGGGTCCTGTGGCATTCATTCAGGGAAAGTCATCTCCTCTGGGAAGCTGACCCTCTGGGCTTTGTTCCCACAGAACTCTTGTTGCTTTATTTAGAGTTCATCTGAATATTTTAAGTTTTTTTAAATCCCTACTATGATGATATCAACACCTATCTAGGTGTTTCA